CCGCAAGGATCCGATCGCAGTGTGCACCCCTGGACCTCAACCGCAAGCTCACAACCACAAACACAACCACAAACACACAAATACAAACACATAACCACAAGCACACAGCCACAAACACAACCACAAACACGCAACCACAACCACAACCACAAACACAACAACAAACACAACCACAAACATAACAGCAAACACACACCCACAAAGACACAACAATAGACACGCAACCACAAACACACAACCACAAACACACAACCACAAACACGCAACCACAACAACACAACCACAAAGACACAACCACAAACACACAACCACAAACACACAACCACAAACATAACAACAAACGCACACTCACAATGACACAACAATAGACACACAACCACAAACACAACCACAAACACACAACTACAAACACAACCACAAACACATCCACAAACACATCCACAAACACACAACCACAAACACACAACCACAAACACAACCACAAACACACAACCACAACACACAAACACAAACACAACCGCAAACACACAATCACAAACACGCAACCACAACAACACGACCACAAAGACACAACCACAAACACGCAACCACAACAACACGACGACAAAGACACAACCACAAACGTACAGCCACAAGCACAACCGCAAACACATCCACAAACACACAATCACAAACACACAGCCACAAACACACAATCACAAACACAACCACAACCACAACACAGCACACAACCACAACCACAACACACAACCGCAGCACACAACCCGAGGACCCACAAGCAAAATCGAGAGCTACAATACTCACGACCATGGCAACATGCTCCTCACTATGGCATCAAGTCAAATGATTGAAATGTCATGGTGGGGATCACTCGAAGTAAAGTAATTTTGTTGTGCCCCCGCTGGGTGGCATCCTTCTTCTCGGAAGACACGCCCATGCTCAGGAGGGTTGCCGTTGTAGATGGTACGCGCCTTGTTCCCTTCATCAATGGCTGCCATCGGATCTGGGCGCAAGTCTTGGGGAGCAGCCGCAGACCTTCGCCGCCATCTCCTGCCTGAAGGGTCCGTCCATCATGCCCGGGAGCTTCTCATCTTGGAAGGTTATTGGGTGCAAAATCCTCTGCAAAGGTGTAGCCAGAACGACATTTGGGGAGCTCCAACCCCTCAAAGGTGTCCAGTTCCCCTTTGAGCTCTTGCTTGGTAGGCCACACCCCTCAAAAAGAGAGGGCGGGCGCCGATACGCCCACAGGAACTCCGCGTTGGACAGTGCGGGGGTATGCCCAGTCGGATCACCCGCCTCACTTGCAAGACAACTAACAGCAAGGCAAGGAAGAGTGTAGTGCTAGAGCCGGGCCACCTCGGGGGGCAATTCCGGTGGGCGTCGATGCGGGGCACTGTCCCGAAGTGGTGGCCCATACAAGCAAAAAAAGGAACTACGACTTCCGGGCCCAGATTCTTGGCCCAGGCAGAAGGCCCAGAGGACGCCCTGGTTGGTGGTTGTCTTTGCGATAGGGTGTGAAAGCCTGTGAGTGCTTGGAGGTTCCCTCATCGTGTCACCCTTTGTGGGCTCCAATTTGCTGGCCGGGCCGAGGATGAGTCGATGACTCGATGCTTTGTGAAGATGCCGGAAATAACGCACAGCTTCTTGAAGTGCCTTTAAGACTCCAGGCTCCTTTCCTGCTCCAAGGCAGGGGGTGCCCGTGCTTGGTGGCATGCTTCTTGGGGGGAGCATTCCGTGGTCGTACAGCGCCTCTCTGCAGGGTCGGGTCTCAGAGAGGCTGCGAAGGTGATGGAAGTCACAGTCTCCACATCATCCAGAGATTCCCAGTCGCGAGTCTCCATGGCAAAGCGCAAAGCGAAAGTGTTTCACAAAAGGCACACTAGCGCCCAGACCTTGAGCCAAAATGGCAATGCATTTTGGCTAGTGAAATGTATTGAAGAAGCATGACCTGCTCTGCACAAGTACAAATTGTCCAGTTGGGAGGAAAACAAAAGAACACCGCCAGAAAAAGCTTCACCCCAGCCGAGCCCCCTGGCCCACCAGTGACTGGGGGTTTGCCCCAGCGAGGTGACCTGCAGCGATGGATGGCAAGAAGAAGGTGGAAAACCCTCAATCTAACTTGGAGACCGGAGACCGAAATCAGAGAACGTAACTAATCGCTACCGAAGTGTTTTTCTCAAAATCTCATTTAATCTCTGAATGGTTGGCAGGAGATCTTGGGGACAGCCGAAGTTTTGAAAACCGATCCAACCGACTTGTCACGAAAAAGTCATGCCACGTGCTTGGTCCAAAATCAACAAGTCTGCGCCAAACACACAACCCAAAACTTGGCCACCTACATTGATCTCTTTTGGACTGGCAACTTCAGGGGGCCTCTCTCCAGTCCGACCCCCCAGGGCGGACGGCCTTTGTTTGGCAGAAGATCTGTGCCAACAGTGCCTCGGCGAGGGTGTCCCGGCGGCTTCTTGCCGCGCGAGAGCTGGTGTCGTGTCCCTCACGTCTTCAGGGATCGCGCGCGCGCGAGAGCTGGTGATTGGGGGTTGAAGACTGGAAGTTGGGACCGGGACGAAAACAAGACAACTCGTGAGGGTCAAGATTGTGATAGTGAACCCATACCAGTCCATGCCCAATATGCCTCTGTCGGTAGCTAGACCAGGATCGTGACTGCCTGAACCAGCAGCAGCAGCGACGACGACAACAACAACCTATTCCTACTCCTCCCACTCCTCCTACTCCTGCTGCTCCTGGTTCTACTTTCAGTTGAAGTCACTTTCGCCAAGTTGAGAGACCCTGATTGCTCGACGACCATCTCCAAGTCGATCGACGTCATCGACGTGAAGACGATGTGATCGTCGATGAAAATCCGTCGACCCCGCTCCTTTTTCGTCGACGACCATCTCCCACACAGGGAGCGCAGATGGCCGTCCTCTGATTCAGCAATCCAAGACCCAAGCAGCTTTCGTCCTATGAGAATCCTTGTCAGGGCCACTTGATGGTTCACTGCCAAGGGAGCCCCCCAAGAATATACATGGGCAAAAGAAGGGAGGAATCACTGCAGTCACTGCAGAGATCTGATCTTGATTGATGTTGCAAACTGAGCACTAAGCACCAATCAAAACAGTTCGGTGGCGGTTTATGTCTATCAGAAAACGCCCTAGTTGGAAAGTCAAGAAAGAGCTCACATGTGGTTGAAATGCCCACAAATTCCACTTACGAACCTTGCCTCAGGGTTTGTCCCTTTGACTACCAAGTGGACTCTGAAGCTCCCTTTTGGGGGGTGTGCAAATCCATGGATTGAAGACCAGTTCGGATTTCGGATCTCCAATCATCAAGCATGGCAGTTATTCCAAGAGTAGATGGGGTATGGTTGCTTCTGGTCACTTGGGGCACTGTATGCAAACCACCTACACCTAGCTGTCTTTTCGGGGGTCTTGGATGGTCTTGGCACTTCAGTCAGCATCTCTCACCCCAGCGTCCGCAACGACTCATCGGCAGCCCAGAACTCCCGCAAGATCTTCCTCGGGACACAAGCCATGCAAACTGGCCATGCTATGCCATGCTGAGATATGGAATTTCTTCCATTGGTGGGCAATTTGCCGGAAGAATGATTCGCCAAGCTGAATTGATGTTCGAGACCGGTGACAAACCAACAGAGCCACCACGGCTCTAACATCTGTTGGTCGGACCGTGATGGCAGTGCTGAGTGATCCTGTTAGTTCAGAATCGACTGACATCGTCCGCACTGATGCGCTGACGTTGTCCAAGTCACATGTATCTTTCAGCATCATCTTCTGCCTGTACGGGGCCACAACTGTCGTAAACCAAGTGCACCATGGCATGCGTGAGTAAAGGATTGACTTTCAAAATTAACAAAAGGGCCACTGCTCTTCTCATGACTGGAGCCTGAACCCCTGGTTCTTGAGTCTCTGCTTCAGATTGGCATGTCAGTCATACAGGATCCCAGCCAGATTGTGGAATTTGGGGTCTGATGCCTGTCAGTATCTGTTTTGCGACCCCCCGTGACACCTCCGCCGAATCGATTGTCATCACCGAAACAAAGCCGGTCACCATCGGGACAACGGAAGGCTCTGACCACACCGATCTGACCACACGTTCATGAGGGTTCCAGAGTCGTTCAATCCTTCATTCTCCACATTCCTGGATCAAGTTGGGTTTTAACAAGTGTCATGGTCCGTCGAAGAGTCATAAAACCGACCTAAAAGCCTGAAAGGCTTCAAGTTTCCTGAAAGAAATTCGTCTTCCCAACCGTCCGAAGAAAAAAGGGACCCGACAGTCACAAACAGTCGATGAACGCCCGAACAGGCGGAGGGAGTTTCAGGAGGTCAGCCATGCGCGGGTCTCAGGCGCCTCGTGCTGCGGTTTCCCCGTCTGACGAGTCCGACGAATCCGAAACACCGTCTGAGAACGCGTCTGTGCCGCGTTCCGCCTGAGCCCAGCGAGAACGAAGTTCGAAGGACTCCTGGAGGCGACGTCATAGTGCAGACTCTCATTCGGTCACTTTAGAAAGATCAAATGGGGGATAAGTCCTGCTAAAGAAATGCCGAAACATCCAAGAAAAGAGGAACAAACCTCCTCTGGGCAGTCAATCATGTGCAAACCAGGACCACCACCTATAATTACTTGGTCTCGGAGTCCAGGACAACGAGACAATGATGCCGCAGTCAGTTTCAAACGCAACTGCCGCAGTTCAAAACGCGGTCCCGCCTTTGGGCTGTGGTCAGTAGTCCCATTAGCAGAGCAAAACACCAATCAGGGGCGTTCATCACCGACCAATAAAACTAAAAAAAAAATAACATAAATATATATATATATGTGGAAAATAAACACCATGTTGCATTCCAAAAAACAAGGAATCTGGAGCAGAACCCTCGTCCTGCTGCTGACGACGACTTTCCAGCTGAAGCTCTTGCAGGCGCCGCTGCAGCTCCTCCAAGCCCTATGCGGCGGTGCTATGGCCATGGTATGTGGAGCACGTTCGCACAGGCGATACACGAGCGTGCTATGCCACTGCTACGCCACGGCTAGGCCATGCCATGCTGTGCTTTGCCTACCATGTCACTGAAGTACTGGTGAGACTGGCTACATCATGTCGCGGGATGCGAAGACACAAGTCCTAGCAAGCAGAGGCCGGTGTTGGTCCATTCTGCGCTTTAGTGTCACGTGAGAATAAGTCCATGTGTGTGTATATATATATATATCAAAACAAGCACATGGTGGATGCTCATGCCGAATGCTCGAAGTCAACATATATATATATATACACATAAGATGTATATGTATGATGTATGTATAGTGGTTCCATGGAACTGGCAAGTTTGGCGTGCCTGGCAAAGAGGAATGGGATACCATGGTCCACTCGGGTCTGGGTCACAACTCTCTAGCCCCGGAAACCCTGCCTAGAAGAGCGTCAATCCGTTGGTCATTTCTTGAACCAAGCAGATTCCATCTGAGATGCCGAAGCCGTGCCAGCGGTCTTAGCGTTCAACCGCCGCGGAACAGACCGGGATGGCCTCGTTGTCCTCGCCCTCGCCCTGCGTTGGAGGTCCGAACGAGGATCCACCGGAGATCACGACATCGCTTGCAATCGACAGTTGACGTTGGTGGTAGATCCCCAGAACTCATTGGTGACGATCTACAGCGATTTTGGGGGGGGCCCGACACCCACGGCCATTCGACAAAGAAGACTTCTTTGCAGCTGGCGCAGTCCCCAATTTCTCTCACCCCAACCTCTTCAGGCTCTGCAGCAGCAGCCGACCCAGCATCCACCGGACCAGCATCAACGCTACCTAAGTTGCAGCTGATAAAAGCACATTGCAATATGGTGCAAATAGACCATTCGGACCAAGGAATCAAAGTATAGACGGTATAGAGTAGATGTGGAGTATGTAGGGAATACATCAAACATGTATAAACCATTTATGTAACACGTACTCTTGTCGTGGGAGGTGATATGTCCTTTCGATTTGACGTCGTCAAAGCAGGTCATGTACTTGTTCACCTTGTCAATAAATACCCCGTGCATTCCTAACCACAAGGGTGGTGACCACTGACTAGTCCAGTTGTCGAGAGTCGCTGAAAGAGGGACCTTCTTTGCCCCGAAAGATGTCTGTCCATGAGCCCATAGGCATTTCTTTGTATACTGTAGACTATTGAAATACATTTCAACACTCCCGGCCTGAAGAGGTTTTACAATCCTGAAGAGGTTGGTTGGAATATAATCAAGAGTCTGCAGTACTCTATGAACATCCAATCATCTCTGCTCCATCCCAGACACTTCTTCCACCCGCCAAGATACCTCTGCATCCAGCCTGTCCGCCTGAACCCAGTCCACGGAGCACGCGAGCGTTGGGCCGAGACGAGCGTTGGGCATGGGAGCGTTCCTCCTCCTCTCGCTGCAAGCGCTCAAGCTCCTGGAGCGATCAACAAGCGAAATCGATCGCCGATGAGTCTGGCGAAATTGGATCAACATCACCCTAACATACCCTAACCATCTCCACCAAGGGGAGGAGGGGTACACCCCCCTTGAATAGAAATGTTGGTGCGTGGGTGATGGATCAACCTCAAGTTTTGGAGGCCAATCTCACTGCTAGTTCTAATTCTTGTTTCAATTAGCTTATTGTTCCTAGTAGCGATGCCAGGAGCCCCGTTCGTAGCGTCCGATCGCTCCGTTCGTAGCGATGCCCTTTGTGACGTTCGTAGTGTGTGATGTGAGAAAGGTTTTGGGAGTGCATCGAGCGCATCTTCTTCTTCGATTCTCGGCGCGTCCCCATCCATCGACCTGGTCCGCGTCTCCTCCCTGGTCCGCATGGCTGGTACATGGGGATCGCTTCGCCGTGGAGGCTGAAAGGGCGGAGAGGCTGAGGTGCCTGGAACTCACAGATCGGGAGGATTTGGATTGAGGGTGGGTTAAGTTTTGTTCTTAGGATTTCTGAGGTTGTTTCCCGTTCCTTCTGCCAAGGTTTGCAGTGAGGTTTCGAGATTGCCTTGACCTTTGGGCGACGGCAAGGATTCAAGGATTCCAATTGAACCCAAAGACCATCCACATTAATTAATGTGGCACAAAGGGGCCATCTAGCAGCCCAAAAAGCAAAACTCTCCAGGACACTGGAGCCGTTTGCGGAACTTTTTGGAGCAAGGCCGCTGCCATCGGTGGTTCACCTCGACCTAGCGGACCACACCAGGGGTGGACCACACCATTCAGAGACGTCCCGGGGTCGACCAGGGGTGTTCAACGGCTTCCAGCAGCTTCGAAACCAAGTCGACCTTGAAGGTTTACCAAGACCAACTGTGCTCCTTTGCCCTCCAAGACCAAACCTCTTCGGTTCTTCGAACGAAGAAACGAACCTCCGTGGTCACAAAATACTTCCTGACCTGAGTAGCTTGTGGGCAAAAGCAAGCAGCTTACAAGAAAAGTTCAATTAAATGTCAAGCCTTATAGTGAACATCTATACCTAGCATGTGGTCACGAGCAAGCAAGAAATTGTGCATTTGGCCTTTGGCATTGAACATCAAGTAACCAGACAGAGATCCAAACATCTAAAACATGTTTTCCTAGACATGTTGAGAGATGTGTACTATTTCAGGACGACCGCTCAACATGACAACCAAACAGTTCGGCGGCCGCACAAGTCGCCTGGTGGCTCCTCCTCACTCGGCTCTGGTGAGGCGTCCGGCGCGTGCCAGTCCTGGTCGGGAAGATGTACCCCGAAGGATCATAGATGGCCTTTTGCTATTGGTTGATTGATTCATAGGGGGATACCCCAAGTGTACAACAAATAGGCATATAAATGGTACCAAACCAACCCAACTATTCTTCCCAAACGGCATATAATGGCGCAGGATGTGTTGTACCAAACATGAAGATTTCAACCCACACTTAGGATCCTTCGAACTGGGAAGACCAATGACGTCGGACCAGGTCAGCATCACTGGCCCAAGGGTCGACCGGGGTTCCCGAACCGGGAACGGCCACTCTCTCGGTGTCGTGGTGTGTTTTCAGTCATGGGGTTTCGTTTTTTCCAGTGAACCACCTTCACAGTCATGTCGACTCTTGGTTGATGTAGTCTCTCCATCAATAAAGCCCCCCAGTTGGATGAGAAAGAACTGTTCACATGAGGGGATGATGAATCTCAAGAGTCCACTTTAAGTGTTGGAAAGCACTTGCAACTCTCTAACAGTATAAAAGAAAGCACAACAAAGACTTCCATTGGATGGTTGTACAATTGCAAAGGTATGGGATCCTGGTGATCTAATAGTGTAGACTTCTCAACCTCCAACCTGATAGCGCTGGCCTCCAACCGAATAGCGATGGCCTCCACCCTTCTCATGCGTTCGGCGTCGTTCAATATCCAAACGTACTTCTGCCACTTGTGAAGAAGTTCGGATCCACGCCCGGCTCCCCCGTCCGGTGGGCGGAAGTGGCTGCTGGTCTGCAAGAGGCCCAAATCCTCAATCTCGGAGACCTGGGTGAAAATGAAGTGGGCTTGCAGTGGATGGGTGGATAGATGGACGGAACGAGCAGGTGGATGAAATATGCGATGAATGAATGGATGGCGGTGATGGGTTCGTTGCATTGGTGGAGAGACAGGAGAATGGTCTACTGTAATTCTAATTATATTTATTTGTTCCAAAGTAGTAAGGCCCTTTGCTAGCGATGCCAGGAGCCCCTAGTAGCTTCTTGTTCCTAGTAGTAAGGCCAGGAGCCCCTAGTAGCGTTCTTGCTACTACTAGGTTCCGCTGTTTCACACCCACGTTTTTTTCGTCTCGTCCGCGAAACCATTCAGCCTCGAGAAATTCAGGATGGTACCATCTAATCACGGAAAACGTTCACTGGTGGTGTGGATCAAAACACTAGACGATTCAGTGGACTGGATTCTCAAGTCTTAGAGTCAGTCATACCCAAATGGAAAACAATCTCTAGTCGTTCGAAGGGTTGTCTTCAACCACTGGAAAAAGTTCCGGCCTCCAATTTCCATCCACCCTTTTCAATGACCGCAGCCTATGTGCCACGTCTTCATGACTTCGCTTCTCTTCCTTGGTTCCCCTTGGTTCCCGGTCCAGCCACATCGAGGCCCGACCACTTCGACATCGTGAGCTCCGCCGGCCGCTGCAGAAGCTTCCGCAGCGCCGCGCGCGAGATCGCCTCGGACCGACGACGCGGCGCGAGAGCCGGGCGGCTCCGGCGGCATCGGTCCGCGAAGGCCCATTTTCAGGTGAAATCAGTTGTGAGGTTCCCTTCCTGAGTGAAAAGAAGGACTTACAGTACTATAAACCTAGAACCTGAGTCCGACCTCTATTTTGGACCACAAACCACCCAAAATATAGTCTTTTCCTATCAGAACAGAGGTCAAACGGGTTCCAGGTATATAAAATATATATATACTGTATATTACTTGTCAGGGCAATCTCCAACATACACCGGGTGGATCTGCAGAGGTCCCTCAGCTCTCTGTCGTTGATGGTGATGGTGAGATAGGCGAGAGGTACTTTGCCGTCGCGTTGGACCGGGGGAAGAGTCAAGGGGCCAAACCGGGCAAAGAAGGTAGACTTAGCTGCTGCTGGAGAAGCTCAAGCGAACATCATGGTTAACACCACTGGACTTACTATCAAACAAGCATCTGCAGGTGAGAGTCCGAATCTCGGAAAGCCTCGGGTAAGAAGTTCGCTGCCATTTACTGCCACTTCTTTTGCTTGAACATGTGAACCTAAGTCCACTGTGACCTGCAGGGGGCACTGAACAGTTGACAGGAAAGGATGTCCTGTGAGCACCCAGCGCTTGTGCGGAGGTCCTCCAGCTTAGGAAATGCAATCAGCCGGCCTCCAACGGACTGCACATTTGAATGAATGCTAATCCAACAGACTGCAGATTCTAACATACCCCTGGTATCCACCAGGTCGTATCTCCCGGGCTAATCCTGTATGTGTGGAGCAAAATCAAAGAAAACAAGAACACCCCATCAAATGCCCCAGGTCTTCACGGACCTGTCGTTTTGTGATGTATTTCATTTTGTTGTGTGTGCATGTCCGCGTCCCTTGTTGGTTTGTTGATTCGCCTCCCCCTGGATCCAAAGGGCTTCATGGACGCCAATGGCCAGAAAGAAGGGCTGCAAATCGCTGCTGTAGAAACGGCAGAGCGCCAACTTCTGCACGCTTTCCACCTGTGCGACACAGCGGCCCTTGCGACTGCAATGACGGACGATGGGATGAGGTGGACCTCCCAAGCAATGGATTTCGTCTGTCTTTGAGGGATCTCCCTATTCTAATATAGACTCATTTCACATGAGGAGGAAGTTTGTTCAGATCTTGACTCTTGGCATAGAACCCCAAAACATAGCCCTTGCTGTGGTCTTCAAACACTTGAGGGAAGTCCTCATCTTCCGGCGCTGTTCCAGAGCCATTCATGTCTGAGCTCAAATAGGACGTCTTGCCGTAGGTTTTCCAGGCAATTCGCCTTTTTGCGAAAACCGTCTGTCCCAGCAGATGGGTCTCTGTCCAGCCTAAGTGGCCCTCCTCACCAAGGGCCAACACGCGTTCGTCTAAAAGGGTCAACCGTTGGTCTCAAATCATGCGTTGTCGCTGTCGAAATCGGGACACGAAGACTTTTTCGAAGTCAAACATCGGAATCTGGCTGCTTGGCCTCGGCTCACCCTCGTTCGTCCAGCCTCCGCGAGCTCCGCGCCCACCTGCCACCAGCACTCCTCTGCCATGAGCCGCTTGGGCAGGCCGTTGGACGTCGGCCTGCCCAGCAGAACGTGGATCAACAGCGAACATGAGTAACCCGGAGCTTGTTTGGGTTGGGTTGGATGTTACTGGGTGGTTGTAGTTACTCGAAGCTTCAGGCATCTGCCTATGAAGCTGATCGAAAAGAGGCAGCCTTTTTTGCGTGCACTTGGGTCAGGGAAGCCGGAAGTGGATTTGCCTGAGGGTTCAGTCAGGCTGGTTTAGCTTGAGTGACTAGCAATCCAGCTGACAGGAGTCTGTGATCTGGCAACCAAACGATCCCAAACAGCATGTCTGGATGGCCTCTCTTGCTCTGTGTTCCCTTGGCCGCAAGTGCTTTTTTGGGCCTTTTGACAAGGATCTAGAAGTGCAATGGTGCCTCAGCAACACCAGCCGCTCGTTGCGGAAGCTTCGTAGCACGAAGGTCGCCTGGCGCATGGAGACCCGCAGGTCGTCACTCGGCTCCTTTCAACCGATTGATCTGGAAACCATATGGCTGCGGGTTGACCTACATCAGGAGAAACGTTACCGGGAGCTACCTGGTGTCGGTCGGAAATGCTACATGGTGGACTGGTCAGGCTCCAGGTGGGTCACGACCCATGCCGTACAAGACCGGTGTTTGAACCTCTAAGAAGGATATGATGGTTAAAACAAGCCAAAGGCCTTTCAACTATTAATGCCCCGGAGGTCGCGTAGCATCGCGTCCGCATGAAACCCATGACTGGCTGTGGTTGGGATTTTGTTCGGATTGAGTCTCAAATGGCGGTTCGCTGGATCCAGAGCGGTTCCACGGTCAGTCTCCATATGCGGGTCCGCTGTTCTCCAGACCGGTTTGTTCAGCATCCCTGGTGAAAATGGGCTCACGGACACCTTTTCCACCAACAAGGGTTCCGCCTCCGACTGGTGATCTTTCAGGTAGATGGCCAGCTGTGAGTAGATCCTTGAATCCAAGGGAGCATGGTGCTGATGGTGCAGGAATCCAGGAACCAAATACTTCACCTTCTGCATGGCAAGCAAACCAAAGAACTGCAGATCCTAAAGTTTCTTCCTTTGAAGGCCTGCCCTTAGTGTTGGGGCACACCCCAACACAAATCTCATCCAACTGTGCACCCTTTGGGAAAAGCTGTGCCATAGAGTTCTTCGAATCTTGCGCACCCCAAGGAACAACTTTTGGCTGCCCAATGCTTTCAAAAACAGACCTGAAACCTCACTGTTGATGTAGTTCTCAACTTGGAAACCGAGTGCTGTCGCCAACAGCAGTGCTGTCGCCAACAGCAGTGCTGTCGCCAACAGTGCAGCCCAAGCTCCCAGTCGCCGTCTCCAACAGTCCATCCAGGCCAGTCTGACCCGGCACCGCCGAGTCCCCCGAGTTGACCTGTCGAGATCAGCGATGGCCTCCAACCTGATCTCCATACACCCAAGCTTACCCAAGACGAAAAAATGAGTACACCTTCCAAGAAATCACCTTCCGTGTGCTGTTTTTTGGCACTCAACATCTGAGAGTTCCATATGCTTCCCTTGCCTGTCGTCCATGGTTCCCTCTGTGAGCCCCTCCTGGATCCCCGAGACGACCGTCCCTCGCCCGCCCTCTTTTCGCACCCGCTCCACCAGCCGACGCAGGGCATGCAGCAGGTGCGGAGGTGAGAAGGAGAAATGTAGCTTCACCAGGCCTGGGCGTTGAGAGTTCGTGGCATGGCAGGGCATGTCTCTTCTTCGAAGAATCTTGCCCATTTGCACAGTGGGAAGTCAATCTGATGTGAAAGTGTTAACTCAAGGTGAAAGTGTTAACTCAAGCGTCTTCCCAAGTTCAATCACGCACCCTCATCCGGGAGTTGTGGGTGAAGGGACAGCCTTAACTCTGTTTACCCTTCACCCCTTCACCTGCATCAGCAACAAGGAAAACCACCCGAGCCTCAGGGGTCTTTCCCACCAACGGATGAGAATGGTCGCCCCAGATGATATGCTAGCTTGTTTCTGGAAGGATTGCTTGAAATCAAACTTCCTTGCACGCACAAAAGGAACATCTATGGCAAAAAGCCGCTGGAGGCACATGAGATGTTCTGGAAGCCCTGGTATTCATCAACCTTTGCGGTCACAGTAAGGTCGTTAAAAAGGACTTTTCCACTCCTCTGGTAGTGAATCAAGTGAGCGGGCTAGGCGGTCCATTGGATGAGCATCCTTGATGTTTCTTTTTTGTGACACAAGAAAAACCATCTCCTTGCCACCGTGCCTTTAAAAAATAGAAACAAAAAATAAAAAACATCGCGCCATCTCCCACCGAGCATCGCAAGAAGTAAGCCTCCATCCGCGGGCCATGGCGCTCGTAGTGAGCTGACAAGGCCGGGACCTGTGGGCATGGGAGACAAGTCGTGGAGCCAGCATCTTCATCGCAAGCACAACAATCATCAATATACCCAAATGGCGCGGCTATATAACTAGTTTTCGATCAAAAATTTAGTCACACATACATCTTCATCGCAATGATAACACTGCCCTCAGTGCTCCCGATACAAGTCAATTTTGAAAAGCATTGGCATCAAACATCTGTGCAAAAAAAACTTTAAACAACATGTGTGTGAACAAACTCCGCTATATACATAAAGACCAGGCCCATAAAAAAGGCCAGTGCCACCACTACATACTTCTGAAAAAGAGATCGATCCCAACTATGCTTCCTGGCTTCTATGCAAGGCGCCCTCTTGAAGCCCAAAGTGACAAATGTCAAAAGAGTTGGTGCAGAAAAGGACGTTCTATAAAAGCTTCACTGGAGTCCTTTCATCGATCTAATGATCTCATGCCGTGATCTCATGTAAATCCGTCGGATGTGCCTCAGCCAGTTGCATCAGGGGAGAATCTCGCCAGGCACACTTCTCCGAGGTCAAAATGCCATGCCCAGGCACCTGGGCTGAAGCTCCTCTGGACCCTTCCGTTCGATGTTCCGTCTCTGACATGAAGTGCTGATCATACCTAAGCTGGTCCTAGTTGTCTATGAGTCTATGCCCATATCCGCCGACCCCGGCCTATAGCCAAAGCCTAGGCGGGGAGGCGCCTGGGACACCGCAGGGTGAAGCAGTTGGCCAAGCCTTGCAGAACCCTTCCAAGCACTTCCAAAGGCATGTGTGCAGGTGCATTGTGGTTGGCAGCGGCCTCTCGGTGGCCTGTCCGAGGCCTGCCTCTCCTCTTCTTATGGGCTTTTCCGAAAGCAACGTTAGGCATTTTGGATCGCCCTCCAACCCTTCTCGGCAGCTGGCAGGCCTGCCTCTTCTCTTCTGATGGGCTTCCGAAAGCAACGTTAGGCATTTTAGACCGCCCTCAAACCCTTCTCGGCAGCTGGCAAGCCTGCCTCTTCTCTTGGCCTGTCCCAGGCCTGCCTCTTCTCTTCTTATGGGCTTCCGAAAGCAACGTTAGGCATGGTGGACCGCCCCCAAACCCCTCTCGGCCCCCGCCCGCAAACGTTTCTGCAGGCCGCAGCTTGGCCCACAAAGCTTCCTCTATGGGCTTTCGAAGGCAACGCGGCCTCTCTGTGGCCTGTCCGGAGCCTGCCTCTTCTTTTCACTCACGGGCCCCGCCCGCAAACGTTTCTGCAGGCCGCAGCTTGGCCCACAAAGCTTTTTCTATGGGCTTCCGAAGGCAACGTTAGACACCCACGGGCCCCGCCCTCAAACGCTTCTCGGCAGCCAGCAGGCCTGCCCCGGCCTCTCTGTGGCCTGTCCGAAGCCTGCCTCTTCTCTTCACCCACGGGGCCCGCCCACAAACGTTTCTGCAGGCCGCAGCTTGGCCCACAAAGCTTCTTCAAAGCTTTTTCTATGGGCTTCCGAAGGCAACGTTAGACACCCACGGGACATTGGATTTGCGTTTCAGGGTGCGGCATCGAAGCTCTGTTTTCGTGACAAGTCTCAGCTGAAATGGGAGGGGACGGTGCTCTGAACGGGTCGAAATTATTCCAAACGTGTGGTGTGGTGCAAATTTTGTTGAAGCTCACATGCGATGATATTGTCACTTTTCGTGGCAGGCGCAGGACTTCGTGCGGGCTTTGAAGCGTGGAAGTGCGATTCTCGTGGCAGGCGCAGGGAATCGTGAGGTTGCGAGGTGTGAGGGGAGGTGACATTTCGTGGCAGGCACAGTACTTTGTGCGCGTTAGACGTGCGGATGGGGAAAGATTCGTGGCAGGCGCAGGGAATTGTGAGGTTGTGAGTTGTGGTAGAGGTGAATGTCGCTGTCCCATTGGGATTGGCGTGTGAGCGGATGTTGTTTGGAGGGGCTGGAATCGCGAAACTGCTTGGCAGGGCTGCGTGATGTGTGTGCTCCGATGGGTGTTTCCGCCAGACTTTTGGAGGAAGTCTCGAACGAAACGCTCCTTTTGCAGACATTGTGACGTGTGAGTTTTTGAGGAAGTCTCGTACGAAACACTCGTTTTGGAGACTTGACGCGCAACCCTCTGCGGAGATCGTGCGTGTCGAGTGTGCGAAATGCAGGCGAGAGTGCGATTTGTCCCATGCGCGCACAACCCTCTGCGGAGATCGTGCGTGTCGAGTGCGCGAAATGCAAGCGAGAGTGCGATTTGTCCCATGCGCGCGCAACCCTCTGCGGAGATCGTGCGTGTCGAGTGCGCGAAATGCAAGCGAGAGTGCGATTTGTCCGGTGCCCGCGCAACC